CAACTCATATAAGGGTATCTAAATGCTATATAAGGATAACTAAATGCCATACAAAGATATCTAAATGCCATATAAAGATATTTCAATGCCATTTAAAGACATCTCAATGCCATATAAGGACATCTCAATGCCATACAAGGATATCTCAATTCATATAAGGGTATCAAAATGCTATATAAGGGTATCCCAATGCCATATAAGGATATCTCAATGCCATATAAAGGTATCCCAATTCATATAAGGGTATCTAAATGCCATATAAGGATATCTAAATGCCATATAAAGACATCTCAATGCCATTTAAGGACATATCAATGCCATATAAGGACATCTCAATGCCATATAAAGATATTTCAATGCCATTTAAGGACATCTCAATGCCATACAAGGACATCTCAATGCCATACAAGGATATCTCAATTAATATAAGGGTATCTCAATGCCATATAAGGGTATCTCAATGCTATATAAGGATATCTAAATGCCATATAAGGGTATCAAAATGCTATATAAAGATATTTCAATGCCATTTAAGGACATCTCAATGCCATATAAGGACATCTCAATGCCATACAAGGATATCTCAATTCATATAAGGGTATCAAAATGCTATATAAGGGTATCTCAATGCCATATAAGAATATCTCAATGCCATATAAAGGTATCTCAATTCATATAAGGGTATCTAAATGCCATATAAGGATATCTAAATGCCATATAAAGATATCTCAATGCCATTTATAAAGGACATATCAATGCCATATAAGGACATCTCAATGCCATATAAAGATATTTCAATGCCATTTAAGGACATCTCAATGCCATATAAGGACATCTGAATGCCATATAAGGACATCTCAATGCCATACAAGGGTATCTCAATTCATATAATTGATATAATATAACAGTTTATTGCTGTTGTTCATTTATACATTCATTTATTTTAGCTCTACTAAAAAGCTAAAATTTCACCCGTTTTTAGAAGCTTTTACAGTGAGAATTATACCCTACAGCTACATGAATATACAGTGATAACAGTGAGTACAATTTCTTGTCTGAATTTTGTTGCTGAAGCCAACTACAGTGATTTTAGATTACTCTAACTCTGACTACATGCTGTCATGTACACTCCAAGGACAACAGGAAGAAGAACAAGCAAAGTAAACAATGGCTACACTAATAAATTAACTGGAGGACAATAGAAGACAACCAGTAAAGTTAACTGCTCAGAAGAAAACCATTTAGAGGACTCCCAAGTCTAATTGAGCCAAATCATCTGTAAAACTGTTACATGTTTGTGCATTGTATGACCAATAATGCTCAAAAAACAAAATGGACACTTGAACAAAGAACAACAATGAGAACAATGAGAACAAAGGAGAGACAAATTACTCAAAACAAAACACAGTGAAAGCCTACTAGGAAACTGATCAAATCAGGTCAAATTTGAAATGGGCAGTAATACTGTAGATGTCATAGCAACAATACCAGTTGAAACATTTAAGGAAGAGAGCTTGAAAGATTTCTTCAGTTCCTTTGACCAGTTACAAGGAAACAATGTGGAGGTCAAGATAAACAAACAATCAGTTACATTGATATCAAATAGGAACTATACTGACATCTGGTTAAGCTGTTTGAAGAAAGCGTACCCAGAGAACCAACACCAATATGAAATTAAACTGAAGGAAAAAACTGAACAACTGCATTTAACAAATCAAGATGGCCATACTGTAACTATTAAGGTTTATAGAAATGGAACACTGCTGATACAAGGTAACTCCTACCACAAATGGATAATGAATGAAGGATTAATACTGATGAGACACATACAGAAACAACTACAACTGAAAGTAAAAATCAGCAATAAAGAAACAGATACAACAAG